GTCCCACTGTAGGCTTTTTAAGAAATATTTAAATTATTAAAGGTGAAATATTTCAAGAGATCTAGAATCCAATTGATTACTAGTCATTGGCATATAATTTTAGATATGTTTACGGGGGTTCTATTGTTTGTCTTTAACAGACACGGTGAGACTCTCAAAGATCAACTGAGAATTTCTTAACCTAGGCCCAGATCCAATTTTGAGGTTGGCATTCGGTAACCTTAGCGTCTTCATTTTTGCATCTCTTCCATATTTTGTGAAATTCTTCTGCACAGGTGCCCTAGGGTGTCTCCAAACTATCTTTAACAAAAGGATATGGCATCAGTCTGTAAACTTAAGTCAGTAGATTACCTTCCCAGGGATATTTTACCTAAAGCTATATCTGTAATTATGGAGCATCGAGCTACTTACTATCTTGCTAAAGGTAGTTGGTTATCAGCATGCAGGTGACAGTACAATTTTTCACCTGGGAAAGCTTTCCCTGGCACGATAAGACCACAATGTGTCGGCTGCTGCCTGGATTTCTAATACGAAAGGCTGATATCCAATGCTTGTGTGAGTGTCTTGCTTTTCCCTAGAACCATTTAGAGTGAAGATTAAAAGAGGGAAAAAGGAGAATATCTTCATTTCCTAAGTAATACTTCTGCTTCCCTTTTTTTTTTTTTTAAGATGTAGCAATTGATCTCACATTAAAGCAGCCCAGGACATTTCAATATTTAAATACAAAATGCAATAATAAAGAGGTAATTTAATATGCAATTTCATACATTAATAATTAGCAAAGCATTACTGAACGACAAGGTAAAGAGCTACGGGAACATAATTAATGAACTATCAATGCCAAAGTAGACTTCATAATAAAACAAGATTTTAATAAATCTTTTATTAAATGGCTACAAATGAACCATTTTGTTAACATCTAATAGGTAACTACTAAGCTACTTAATTCACATATATAAATGAAGAACTTGCAGGCAATTAACTTCACAATTGCTGAAGGTCAGGGCTTCCAAAGAGAATTACTGTACTACACCTTCCAGGGCTGCTACTGTACTGGGTCGAGTCTCAGCTTTTCCTCAGCTGCTCTATACTCTGGTAGCAGCTATTACTATGCACTGAAGCAGCTGAAGTATAAAATCAACAAAGGATGAGCTATACGCTAGCAAAAGCCCTAGAACTAAATCATACAAAGAATTAGAAATATTGAGTGCAAAGAAAAGGAATTTGGGAGGAAAATTCTAAGCAAGGACTGGTATTATATATGGGTGCTGATTGTTATTTATTGGAGATGATAAGATAATAAGGGAATGCTTGTATACTGCAAATACTTGTCCGGGTCTGGATGTGACTGGAGGAGATCTGAAACTCACAGGAGATTATAGACCAGAACGGCTCTTTTTACGGAGCAGAAATGTGCAGTACACAATCCTATCGATTGTCTCCAGCAGCAGCAAATGTTAAATTCATTAGAGAAAGGAAATAAACATGGTTATGGAAGCAAGAAACTGCTGGTGAAAAAATAAATGCTTTTTAATAAATCAGAATAGAAGCTGCACGGAAACAGGACAAGGTAGAAAACCTTTGATGCCTTCTCTACCAACTCCACAGACTAAGTCGACAAATGACCAAGAGTTTCGTGGATTATTATGTGCCAATCTGCAAGCAGCTATTATCAATGTATGCTGGAAGGAGAAAAGGGCTGGGGCCAAAGAAAGTGTATAGATTCTTATACACGGAACTTGAATTTCCTGCTGCATAACTTACATCCTTTTTAAATGACAGTTTCAGAAAAGTGAGAATCAGTAAAATGAGTATATGCGTAAGTAGAAATAATTGCCAAAGATGAAACTGTGCCCCAGATTAAAAACTAGTCAATGGCAGACACACGTCTGGATGAAGTTGTTAATACATCTGAAACTGAACCTGAGAATCATACTCAATGGGGAACCTTAACTAAAAAAGGAAAAATCAATGATAAATAAGACTGGTTCTTCACCTCAAGAGTTCCAACCAAGTGAGACTATTAAAGAAACCACAGTAGTACTGTCAGTACAGTGTGAGATTTTCACATCGTTGCTTAGGTTGATACACTGAGGACGTGAGAAGCCCGAAATACCATTTTCTTTTGATTAGCAATATTAGAAGAGGTGAACGCCTGAAAACAAGAAGACAATAAAAGTAGACTATGGATTGAAAGGCATTCCAGTGTTTGGATTCATTATCCTTCATGTACACGTTAGTGAGATACTATCAACTGATAGATTTGCCTTTCTACATCAATTCATGCTTTTTTTAAGGATTTTATTTATTTATTAGAGACACACATACACACACGCACACACACACACACACACAGAGAGAGAGAGAGAGAGAGCAAAGCAGAGGGAGAGGGAGAAACAGACTCCCTGCTGAGCAGGAAGCCTGATGTGGGGCTTAACCCCAGGACCCTGAGATCATGACCTGAGTTGAAAGCAGACACCTAACCGACTGAGCCACCCAAGTGCCCCTCTATGTCAATCTATAAAACTACAAAACGTAATTCCATGGATGGTTCACTAATGGCATCACTTTGAAATGGAATTTCAAATGGTATTGCTTTCAGATCACCTCGTGAGTGATTCCTTACACAGTCTGAATACAGAGAAATCAGCTACAACTATACATATGGCAAGAACGGATTGTCCCCTACACAGCTACTTTCTCTCCTAATTTCCCACCAACCAAAATTTATTAGTACAGTATGAGGAATAACAAGAACACACTTTATCTTCTCCCTCAAATGATTTTTTTTTAAAAAAAATGTTTTATCGATTTACTCATGAGAGACACACAGAGAGAGAGGCAGCGACCCAGGCAGAGGGAGAAGCACCTGCAAGGAGCCTGAAGCAGGAATGGATCCTGGACCTCGGGATCATGCCCTGAGCTGAATGCAGACCCTCAACCGCTGAGCTACCCAGGCGTCCCCCCTCAAATGGTTCTAAACATCTCCACTAAAAGACATGGCTTCAAAAAAAAAAAAAAAAAAAAGACATGGCTTCAAGGAATACCAACTCTCCTACTGACACAGTTTTTGAGGCTTCTATGCTATCCAGCATCCCTAAAATAAAACACGTTTCTGCTGACTAACTCGACATAGTTCATACATATTTGTCAAAACAATTATTGTCAACTAAAATGTAATTATCCATATTCAATTTGATGACTCAACTGGAAAATTACTTTTTTCCTAATAAAATTTTTCCAAATGACAATAGTGAATCAGTGTTGATTAGTTGTTCAGTGTGTGCTAATTAATTACACTGGATAAATTTAGTTCTGTGCTAGTTCTGTGCTAATAACCTCAGGAAAAAAAAATCTGTAGACATGACTCTGTCTTAAGTGAAGAAATTTCCCGTTTGCCTACCTCTTCTGTACTTTCGCTTTCTAATCTCTCCCAGACGAGTGTTCAATAATACAAAATAAACAAAAAGAGCCAACTACTCTTGGCTGACACTACAGATAAAAAGACAAGAGTTCCTTGGAACCATGTTCTTAGGTCAGGAGGGAAAGAAAAGAAAAAGATTTTCATTGTTGACAACTAACTGTGAGGACCTCCTGCTAGCTCATCCTCAGGGCAGGATTGGTTTAAATCATGCAGTTAATGGCAAAAAAAAAAAAAAAAAATCGTAATTTATTTGTTGTGAAACCTGTTTCTTTGTCCAGAAACTAATTTCCATGCTGACATTAGCCAGGGGCTCTATGGCACAGGGCATTTTGGGGGATACTCTCCCTGGGGGTCCAGAGTCCTCTATTTTCTGGATTTCATATGTGAGGATTCTTTTTCTCTGAGCCTAATGGAAGCTTAGGGCAGAAAAGAAACACGGACACGAATGAGAGGGGAACTTTGTCACAAAGCTGTCAATAGGGAGCCTCACAATGAGGTAGGACACCACACTTGGTTTGTGCAATACACGGTAAAAGGGAAATAGTGGCTATGGAGTTTCTGTCCAAAGAAAGAAGGTAAATTTTTTGTGCCTACACAAAAAGAGAGATCTACAAATGCAACAGATTAACTCAAAACAGCTATTCCTGATCTACACTTTTGTAGGAATGGTTTGCTATCTGTAGGCCAATCCGTGTTAGAAGTCTTAATTGAAGAACCTCACCAAAACACCTGGATGTGTACAGGGAAAGGGCACCACGCTGGTGAAGCCTCTAGAACACAAGATGGAGAGCAGCCCATGGGCCATCATACAGAAAAGGGGCAATATTACTTTGTATTGTCACAAATATGAGTTGCATGGTTTATAACCAGAAGCTGAGAGTTTCAGGAATTAGAGATTTCAGTTCATTCTATGGAAGAGTATGACCGTCTACTATTACTGTCCAAGGAATGGCATGTCTTAGGAAATAATGCTGGAAGGAACTTTAGAGAATAGGTCCCAGCTCCTTCCTACTGCAAGAAACTAAATTATTCTTCACAAATGGTCATCTGACTTGAGCTTCACCATTCTACTTAGGAATCCACTATGATTCTGTGATGTCATGGACACAGCATACCTAAGTAGGGGTGTCTAGAACCATGTCTCTGCTGACCATGTTCACAGACTCAAGCTATGTATGGGACCCAGAATCACATCTCGCATCACCATTGTTTTCTCGACATGCATGAGAATTTGTAAATAAGGAGAAAAGTAATAAGGAAGAGTTTCACTGAAGCCATTTATGGCTCGTCTCTTGGAGCCTACACAATGTGCGAAAAGGATGAAGAAGTTTATGGGCCCCCCACCAACTAAAAAATGACTGGCAACCCAGAGCTGTTCTCAGAGAAGACAAAATACAGAGTACGTAAGTACGGAAAAGTTCTTAGTAAGAAAAGAGTGAGACTAGTTTATTTTTAAACAATAGACATTAAAACACAACATGGTTTATTGACTATGGTAGGGTGTCCATTCTCCAAGCAGACACATTGTGCAGTCCTAACATTCAGAAGATCTGAGAGTCTCCCATAGAGGAGTTACCTGCTTTCCAGTGGTACATTACTGCCAAGGACCCAGCTGTCCTGCAGCTGGACGGACTCGGGTGTGGTTTGCAGCTCGGCGGGCAAAGCAGCCGGCGGGGCCGGACTCTGGTTCCTTCTATTGGTCAGGGAGTTTCTGTTGAGAGAAGTGATGGACGGATGGTGTTGTGCGGGGTGCTGCTTATGGGGTGGTGGCAAAGGCTGCAGGGTGGGCTGGCCTTGGTTGTTTGCAGGTTGCTCTGAAAAAAGAAAAGGAAACTCATTATATGTATTTGCATGTGTATATGTACATACATGTCAACACACACCATCAATTTCTTGGGGATCCACTGTAGATGAATTAGAAGTAAAAACTGCATTTAAATCTATAACCTAATAAATTTGCATATTATTCTATTAAGCGGGTGTTCAGTGACATTCTCTAAGAGCAAGTTTACCCTTGATACACAAAGTACTAATTAATATACAACAGATGGTAAAATTGGTTTTGGTTTTAATTTGTTTCAGATTTTTTTCATCTGGTTTTATTAACACCTACAGAAAACAGTATCTGACAGCTCCCCTAATGTGCCTTTAGACTTCAGCTTTTTTTAACAAACCAACCCTGAAATTAAATGGGTAATTTCAGTTGAACACAAAGGTTTTCGAAATGCATATAATCCCTATAATTATTTAATGGAGTTTTTTTAAGCTTTATTTAACTGCAATAAATTATTACAAGCTAGTTGCTAAACAGCAGTAGACTACTCTAGTTTAGTGCATTTCAAATAAGGCAGATCTGCATTATGATCCACTAATAGACGCTAAGTATCCTTTAGCAGAAGGTCACTCTGTGAAGCAGATGTTGTTTCATGGATATTTAACAGACTGAATCACATCTGATTACGACGTCAGAAGACTCATATACTTAATGACCGTTACATCCATTAGAACACACACAGAACAGATTTTCCAATTTCACAGTATGCAGTATAGCTCCACTTTGGAGGAATTCATAGGTGACCAGAGCGACTCATGCCCCTATGTCAGTGGTACAAATATTTTGTTCTAAACCACAATCGAGAGGGATCCAGCAACTTCCAAATAGAAGCGCGATGCTAGGTTATAACCATGGAAGACTTCCCTAAAACCAGTAAGTCGCAAGTCAAAATTTACAAATTAATGTAACATGAGACTGACTTTTCAATCTCATTACCTGCCTTTGGACATGCTAGAGTTCACAAATACCACATTTTAACAAACAGACAGGTGACTCCTTAATTTAATGCTAAACTTATTATGGTTCCACACATATAAGATGTCAATTTTTGACTAAATGTAGTTCAAAGTGCAATATAATTTTAAAGTGATGTATTAAATCATGCTATTAATATAAATGCACATATTAAAAGAGAATAGGAAACACAGGGACTATCTTTCATCTGCAGTATGAACTTCAGTTGTAATTGTTATGCCAAATAGAGCCTAACACTGTAATTCTGACTGCATGAAATGAATACTTGATATGTAATAGCTTAAATATATATCATCAAACCTCTTTACAGGGTATAGTAATTAAAATAATTCCTCCCATAGCACATAATATCAGTAATTACTGCATATTTCTATAGGTCTCTAACATATCATATCACTTAACAACTAATAATTTCTTACTCTTGAAATGAGGGACAGAGACAACATCTAAATATATGAAATAAAGCTATTTTCTCGCACATTCTCTATTCTTGACGATCCCTATACCAGAAACTACAGAAACCTTGGCTGGTCCATTGCTTTGGTGCTTATGAAAAATTAAAAGAGTATCTGCACCTCAGTTAAACTGGAAGTACCTTTGGAGGTAATGAGATAGCTACATGGGCATATACAGTTTTAATTATGTTACAGAAAAGGAAATAGATGAAAATTTGAAGAAGATTTATTACTCAGGTATCATATAATGAATTAGTTTGGTCTTCCCTGGCATCAGTGCATATGATTAGAAATTCTACAGGTGTCTTTAAGGAGTATTTCAAAAGCTGCTTTTATAATGATATACATATGTATATATTTATTTTACAAGAAGCCAAGGGTTTTAACTAGGTTGGTGTCAATGCAATGGGTACACAGAGAAGAGAGAAACGTTTCAAAGGGAAAAGTATTAAGACTGTGTCTAAAAAGAAGTAGAGGGCTATGTCAAGTGACTCCGTGTTTTTAAGCATGGCTCCATGAAAGAATGAAATTATATTATACATATAATTCATAAATTATGTATTGGATATTATACTAAAAAGAGGTGAGGGCAGTGTGCAATAGCAGTTGACACGAAATTTAATTTCTGTCAGGCAGCATCATAGTAAGCCTCAGTTTTCCCATCTGTAATGTGGGAAATAATACTGTCCCACCTAGGTGTTAATTTAATCTAAGTGCATTAATCTAATAAATGCACTCATTCACTCATTTATTCACCCACTGAGTCGTTCAGCCCACAAACATTTATTGAGCCTCTATGTTCCAAAGATTGCTAAGTCAACAAGTAAAAGTACTATGCAATGGGGAAGCATCATGGAGATTAAGATTGTTTCTTGAAGATGCAATGATTTTAAGATCTATTGTCATCACCAACATATTTAAATATGTTGAATTTAAGACTCTTATTCTTGGGGTGCCTGGGTGGCTCAGTCAGTTAAGCAGCCGACTCTTGGTTTCCGCTCAGGTCATGATACCAGGCGTCCTGGGCTCAAGCCCCACATCTGGCTCCATGCTCAGTGGGAAGTCTGCTTGAGGTGTCTCCCTCTCCTTCTGTCCTTTCCCCCATTTCCACGTGTATGCATGCATGCATGTGCTCCTTCTCTCTAAAATAAATAAACAAATATTTTTTAAAAAGATTCTATTTACTCATAAGAGACACACAAAGAGAGGCAGAGACACAGGAAGAGGGAGAAGCAGGCTCCCTGCAGCAAGCCCGATGTGGGACTCGATCCCAGGATCCTGGGATCACAACCTGAGCCAAAGGCAGATGCTCAACCACTGAGCCCCCAAAAGATTCTCATTCTTAAACAGTGAGGAAAAACTTCCATGTAAGGTTTCAAAAATAATTAGTATGATTGTGGCTTTCTCTAGGTTGGCTCATTCATTTGGCAAGTATCTGTTGAGAACTTATGATGAACAAGACATCACGCAAGGATCTATGCCCTTTTTAACTGTCTATCCAGGTTATTTCAGCACCACTGTGTTCTGTCCACTGGGACTTCTTTTGATCTGACTACATAATCATGAGGTCTCCCTGTTAAACAAATCCAGATAATGAAAGCTAGATTCAATCTAAAATTTGATGGAACAGAATAAATGCAGAGCCTGAGTGAGATGGGATGGATGACCAGAAATTTAAATTCTGCAGCAGTCTACAAACAGAGGCAAAATCCAAGCATTCACTCAGAGGTGCGTGCTACCTCTAGAGATTTGGGCTTACAGGATGTAAGAAGCAGTGGAAGTATGTATCTATACCAACTTATTCAAGACAGCATAAATTTATAAAGTATAACAAGATAAAATAAAACTAAACACAGACGGAAAGGAAGAAACAGAATAAAAGAAAATAAAGTGGGAAAGATAAGATAAAGCCAGATCTAAAGCAAGTGGACAAAATGCCTGTTGTATAGTTCTGTACGTTTTTAAAGTAGGATACAAATCTGGCTCTAAATTATTTATTTAGTTGCCAACACAAAAAGGGAAACATGATCAGTTACATGATTTGGAATGTTTTTAAGATCACAAAGTTTTGCTTGAGAAAAGCATTAACTATTACTGGTACTGAAAATAGAAAATTCAGTCCCCATAGGAAGAAAAACTGAATATCCAGGGAAAATTTTATGACCTGGGTTCAAAATAGACACAAACAGGGGTGCCTGGGTGTCCCAGTTCGATAACCGTGTCTGATATTTGATTTTGCCTCAGGTCATGATCTCAGGGTCCTGAGATGGAGCCTGGCATGGGGCTTGTGCTGAGCATGGAGCCTGTTTAAGATTTTCTCTTCCATTGCCTCTATCCCTCCCTACTAAAAATGACCCAAGGAAACAGAATGGGGTCTAGATTTAGCAACAAACACTTAGAATCTAATACTTGTGGCCAGGTCCACAAAAAGAACAACCAAAACATCAACCATGGCCTTTGTTTTAAGCTGATTCATTGATAACAGACTTTCTGTAGATTTGAGAAGGTTTTAGATAGAATGACTCTGAGTTACAAAGAGGACGATTAGACCTCACAGAGTTACCAGATTTAATGCTCCTGAGACATAGCTCTGAACATCTCATTGTTCTCCTTAGAAACTCCAAATGGCTTCCTAGTACCTATAAAACATAAAATGCACTCTCAGGGCAAAGGTCATATTTCTTCCGTTAGCTCTCAACATGTTTTTGCAAATCCTTATCCCCCTTCATGTATTTCTTGCTGTATCCATTGCATGTCTCACACCTTTCCACACAAGCACATCCATCTGCTTCTATATCTTTATATTTTATTTTTCTCTTTCTCTATCCAAAACCTACATACTTCAAGATCTAAGAAGGATGACACTCCTGTTTTTTTTCAAGTAGAAATCAGTTATTTCTTCTCTGAGTCTTACAGTATTTTATCTGTGCCTCTTTCATGACTCTTTTCATCTCCCCCTATTTTATAGGTCTCATATCTCCGGTTAGACTCTATATGGGCAAGGTTCACCTCGAATTCACCTTGGAACCTCTAAGAACCACACAGGGATAGATGTGTGGTCAGTAAATAAATATTTATCCACTCAATACGTATTTGATGAATGACTGAAAGACAACTTGTAAAGAATTCAATGAAGAGAATGCTAAAGTCTAAAGAGCCGAGCCTGGCAGTAGCACCTTTAATTGCAAGGTAATCTGAACCCGTCTTCTTTCCTCAACCCAATTCTTAGATCCTGAAAGGTAGGAACTCTGACTTAAATTTCTTTGGACTTTTCAATATCTTCCCTTAGCCTCGTATTTCAAAGACCCCTAGAAATGTGCTGCCTGCTTGGTAACAATTAGGCAATAATGGCACCTTTGTGGCTCATCCGATACAGGCAGGGCACCATATTATTTTTCCCAGAGGTTTTAGGAATATTGCTTTGGAACCAGAGCAGATGTACCAAGATTCAAAATCTACCTTTTAAGGTGAGAATGGAAAGATTACATAAAATATATACGAAAATATAAAATATAAACATATGAAACAATATATATTATAGCTTACCAAA